AAAAAATTCCATCTACAAAGCTTCTTTTCACCTAATTTTGATTCTAATCAGTCTTCCAACATGCATTTGCTGAGAAATTATGAACTTGACTTCCGTACCATGTTCTATCCATAGAGCTCATCTCAACCTAACTCAGCAATTTATATATTCGGAAAATTCTGCCGGATAAGTGGTTAACGGATAACACGTCAACTGGTATATCGGTCTAATCACAAAGTTTTCATTTTTTTTATTTTAAATTATAAAATAAAAAATTATTTTTTATCATTTAACTTACCACACTTAAATATCATATAATTTAAATTTATTATAACAAAATCTCTTACAATTATAAAAATAAAATTATTATTAAATTATTTATACCATTGACATAATAACAAAACTCTTTTTAACAAGAAATAACAAATGTTCAAAATGCCTATAAAAAAATGTTTAAATGAACTTGAATCAATTTTTCATGGTTTTTTCTGTTTAGCAAGGACAATAATCTATAACAATTATTACATATTTTTAATAGGGAATGGAGAAGGGGGAGCTGAAAATGCCCAAGCGTTTCCTTCACGTGGAGAACAATCAGGTTTTCATGTTGGCCCCAAGGCTAAAAGGGTTTTGATGCATAAAACATTACTCTAATATTATAGTGGGAAACCTTGACAAAAGTTACGCGTTTCCTTCACTTTTAGGAAAAGGAGGTTCATGCCTATCCCTAACCAAAGCCATGATTCTGCTGCCAGGGTTCCACACCTTCAAACTCCTAATTCCAAATCTAATGACATGTTGGATGCTTCCTTGTTAATTGAAAGGTGTCTCCAGGACCCAAATGTGCCAAAGAAACTGTCAAGAGCATAAGCAGACCCTGCTTTGAAGATATTAATGGAGTCAAAGGATGAGGGGAAGTCAGGGGCATAAGCTTCCTCACCAGCTGAAAAGGCTCCATGTTTAGCTTCTTTCTAGCAGTGGTCATAAAGGTCCCTACAGTCAGCAACACATAGAGTCCAATGCACACATCCTCCTCCTTACCATATATCACCGCCCAAAATACCTCGCGGTCAACAGAAAAACTAGCAGCCAAAACAAGTCCAAAAACCTCAATCAAACCATCGTCTATCACATTAACAACACTATCAAAGATATGCATCCCAAATCCATCTTTCAAGTACTGGTCAATGTGGAGTATTGGCTTTTGAAATTCCCATATGATTCTTAAAACCTGACTTAACCATTGAAAAAGCCAATAAAACTTGCTTCGTCCCTAACCTAAGAAATTCATAGCCCATAAAATTCGCAGGGAGAGTCAGAATTCACAGGCTCAGAGAAAAGAGAACATAGAGTGTAGATATTCATGCTCGCTGAAACCACATATTTAGAAATCCACCACAGAATCATGTGTTTAAACCCAACACCCACTCTAATAGACGGATTTCACATAATCCCAATACATGATTAGAAACAAAATTAGGCATAGAAGTTACAAAGGAGCCCTGTGAAAACACCATGGGCGCTTTGAAAATCCAAGCTTTCATTGATTTAATTCCTTCTTTATTAAAATCTATCTTTAGCACTAAAAAAAAAAAATAGCAATCCTTCTTTGCTACATCAATCACAGAACTATTAAACAGCAATTAATCCTCACATTTGGAAAACAGTAATATCACATTTAATTTCGAAGTCTGTACGCCCCCCACCATTTTTTCTTTTTTTGGGCAGGCCTGGATTTTAGTTGGCAATGCAATTTATAAGTTTCATGTAAAGGAAACAACAAATATAAGAACAAGCGAAGGTCCAAAGACCCATCAAAAAAGAAATTGGCATTGAGAAAAGAAGAGATTACATGCATATAAATGCAGGGCTTAACCTCTCATCAATCTCATACCAGAGAGGTTGTTTGAAAGGCTAACTGAATACTAAACAAGAACATTGGATGTAGGCATCTCTTATTTTGGGAACAACTATATCAGGATGCAGTGTTCCCATTTCATCACCAGCCTGCTAGTTCCTCCTTCAGGGTGTCCTAAGAGCTCTTCGCCCATGATTTCTACTTCTTTGATCTAGCTGAGGAAAAATCCTGAAAAGAACTCTGTCAACACGCTTGTAATACCATATCCTCCATCTCTTCATGAACATAAGTGGTAAAATGACAATGGCTAAGCCAAAAACAAATCCCACTTCAGCACTTATGAGATTCCATTCAATCTTGGTTCCATCATTTGAATTGTTGCCTTGAGGCGGTGGCTGCATATTAGCTTCACAATCTCTCAATGGGAACCCACACAATCCCTTGTTATCTTCGAAAGAATCTTCTGAAAATGTTTGAAGTTGATTTCCTTTTGGGATTTTTCCTTCCAGTTGATTGTGTGAGAGATTAAGGGCTGCAAGGAAATTCAGGCCTCCCAGCTGTTGGGGAATATTGCCTGTCAAGTTGTTACTAGAAAGGTCTAAGGACTCAAGACAATGTAAGTTTCCTATAGATGAAGGGATAAGACCCGCAAGAGAATTATGTGACAAATTGAGGACAATGAGTGCCTGGAATTCTCCCATCACTTCAAGTATCTCCCCTTCAAAGTTGTTGCATGAAAAATCAATGGAGGTGAATATTGTTAGGATTTTCACCAAGTCTATCTCTAAACCTTTCATGGTGACTGTCACCGTATCCTTATAATATGTTTGACCAATGATTTTAGCTGGGGCTTCATCTTTCGCGACCATGATTCCTGTCCATGATTCAAAGAAGTTTTTTGGCAACTTTCCACTAAACTTGTTGGAAGCTAGATCAACAATCTGAAGTAGAGACATGGTTGCATTGCTCATCGGACATTCAATGGATCCATAGAATTTGTTGGACCTCAAAACAAGAATCCGGAGAGTGGATATGGTACTTAACCAACATGGGAAGCTATCACTTATCCTGTTGTTCCCGATATCTAGAACTTCAAGCATTTTACAATTGGCCAAGGATTTGGGAATCTTTCCTTGTAGAGAATTCTCATTGAGATTCAAAGTTTGTAGTCCACAGTTACCTGAAAATGTATCAGGAATAGTACCAATCAAGTTGTTTCTCCTTAGATTCAATACACTAAGGAAGCCACTCTGAGTCATATTAACCAAACACCAGGGCACAGTGCCATTCAAAAAATTACGAGACAAATCAAGGACTTGAAGATAACTCATATTGCATATCGACTCCGAGATGACTCCACGAAGGTAATTGCCCGAAGCCAAGAATATAACAGTATTCCGGGCCAAAAAACTATCAATGTCAGTAGGAATAACAGAGTTGAGCTGATTCTCTGAGTAATCTATGAATTTCGCTCGCGTCACATTAGTGATATCCCCTCGCAACAAGTTGGAGTGGAGATCCAGGAAATTTAGAAGACGTCTGCCACAAGATCCATCAATTTTTGTCAACAAATTATGCGATAGATTGAGATACCTGCTTGGGACATCACAAATCCATTCGGGTATTTCTCCTTCAATTTGATTGTCTGAAAGGTCTAAAACTGACATAGCTGATTGGTTTCTCAAGAAACTTGGAAATTTCCTCAGCTTGCAGGAGACCAACCTTAATTCCTGTATTTGAGGGAAACTGGTGACATCAATGTTACCAAAACCATCCTCCACCGACAAGTGATTGAAAGAAAGATCAAGTGTAAAAAGATTTCCAAGTTTCTGGATGATGCTTAGATCTAAAGTGCCACTAAAGTTATTGGAAGAAAGAATGAGTTGCTGAAGACCTTGAAGCTTGAAAAAAGAACTGGGTATTGAACCTTCTAACCTGTTACTGCTCAAATCAAGTGTTGCCAGCTGAGAAGAAGATACAACAGGAAAGTCACCAATTTGACCAAAGAACCGGTTGCGTTGGAGATATAAATTCTTCAATGATGGAAGGGAAAACAGAGACAAAGGGATAATTCCCTCTAGTGAATTGTTAGACAACCGAAGATTCACAAGACATGAAAGATTTTCCCAATGGATGGAACTTATCTGACCTGACAAAATATTATTAGAGAGATCCAAATCAGTTAAATTCTTTAACGTGCTAAAAGATGATGGAATGGACCCAGAAAACAGATTCCAAGCCAAATTAAGGCCCTGAAGATGTTGAAGATTGAAGAGACTACTTGAGCTGTCAATCCCACCAGAAATGGACTCATGGCTGAGGTCAAGATCAATAACATGACCACCACCGCTGCATGTGACGCCAGCCCAAGAACAGCAATCGGTTGATGAATTACCCCAGGAAACGAGCTTGGATGAAAGAGCATGGTTGAAAATGAGTGTTTGCTTAAGTTTTAGCAGTGACGAATGCTGATCCTCAAGACATAGACTCCAAACAGGGCCGATTTTTAAGTGTAAGCTCAAAGAGAAAGCTATGAGGATCAGGAATAGCTGGAGAGAAATTTCCATTTTTTGAGGGATGGGATTGAGAGGTGCAGGCGCGAATGATAAATCAGGGGAGTGAAAGCGGAGCTACCTCGAGGTCCGGCTTATTTGACGATTTTTCTGGGGAAGGCCTCAACCAAGTAAGCCCTGAAAGTCGGTGTTCTTCTTCTTGACTCTTCCTATCCTAGTCGTCACCGGGGAACTTCTCACAGTCAATGAGAGCGGCTAGGTAGAACTTGAATGGTTGCGCTTCACGCGCAGGTAGCCCCTAGTATTATTTTCTTGATGCATTTACTCTAATATTCTATTTATCTTCCCATAAGAAAATATACTAATATCCTTTCTTTTTTTTTTTTGGTACATCAGCAATGAAAACTAGATTAACACCAAGAAGAAACTAAGAACGGAGGAAACAAGCCCCCAACTGATCACCTAAGAGGATACGCAGTAAACCACATGGTGGGGAATTGAGTATACTTAAACCCGGTTGTGACGAATGACCCAGGGAAGCCAAGTAATCTGCCGCAGCATTCCTTTCCCTTAGGATGTGATGCACTGTACTTCAAACTCCAACATCAAACTTTTAATATCCAACAAGATAGCCGCAGATAAATTATCTACCTCCCGATCTTCATTGAAATATACTAATATTCTATTCACCGTAGTTTTGAAATATAATAATTGAAAAAGAGAGAGCATATAGTGCTTTATTTATTTATTTATTTAACTGCATCCAAAATAGAAAGAGTAGATTTTTGTAGTTGAAAAAATGGATTTATGTGGTTGAGGTCTCAATTGGCAACTAGTCAAAGTTTTTGGTGGAAGAAGATTGACAAATGGTAAAATTGAGCAAATTCATTCATGGGAGTATGTGTTCCAACACAACAGTATTGAAATTGATTCATCAAAATGTTGATTTCTCACCTTCATACTTTATTTCTCTCACACTTTCCTCTCTCATTCTTTGACTTGTATATTCTTCCTGCACTTCTTTAAATCTGTTCATCTATAAATTTTAAAGATATTTCACAAATAATACAAAAAAGAAGTTATTATTCATAGAAAATTTCCTCTTTCTCTTTTCTAATAAACCAGATACTTTGAACGCATTCCTATAATATGTTGTTGTCATGGATACTGGTACCCGGTTGTTCCAAGACTAGATGGATTAATCAGTGACTTGAAAATTGAGAGTTTACTCTAAAGAAAGAAAGACAGTGTTTTGTTAAATTAATGTCCCTATCAGGAGTACCATTCCATTCACAAGGCATTATTCCAGTCTTTGTTTTCGGTTCAAAGGGTGTGGCTGGAACCTGGAGCCATTACGGTCCATTAATACTGTTGGTTGCCAACGAAACTAAGTTATATATATATATATATATATATAAAAAAATAATAATAATAAAATGCCAATGAATTACGTAATATAATAATAATTTTTTTTATTAAAAATAAAAAATCTTGAATTTAAATTGTATAATATATAAATCGGGTATTGTTAATTGAGAATATAATAAAAAAA